GAGGTATTTGTGTTGTAATTAACGATTTGACATTTTAGTATTCCAAGCCCCTTAAAAAAAGAAAAAAATAGTATGCTCAGAGAGAAGCCTGGAACTTTAAAGGAATGATAAAATAATACATCAGTTGTTATTGTTTTTTGAAATCTGGCAATGTCAGTCTGGAGCAATTAATTTCTATAGGCTTTCGAGACTAACCAGAAGCATTTTGCTATGAGATCTCTCTTCTTTCACTCATCCTCTCTCTTTCTCTCTCTGTCTCTCAAAATTAAAGGTAATTCAGAGGGGTAATATATGAGTAGAAGGTTCTCTTAGTACCACCTGGCTAAGACAGTTTCTAACAAATTAAAAGCTGAGGAAGACTCTCCTGCCCAGCGTTGTAACTTCTTCAGCTGGTCCTCCAATGAGTACGATGTCAGTGCCCAAAAAGAACCTTTGAGTCAAGAAAAGATCTTACAGTATTCATTTTAGCAAGAAGAAAAAGAGGCTTAAACTATGATAAGCATAGTTTTAGATGTAGATATTAGATGTTAGAATTTTTTTTTTTTTTGCAGGGGGGGAGGGAGGAGGCCAGGTTTGAACACGCCACCTCTGGTATATGAGCCGGCGCCCTACTCCTTTGAGCCATAGGCGCCACCCTCAGATGTTAGAATTTTAAAAATGTTTTTCTTCAACTTGTAAGACAGTTTTTAGAACTTTATAGACATGCTTGAGCATACCAAAATATGTGAATGCTTACGTACCTTTCATGTAACTTCAAAATTTTATGTGGGATTTTTTTTTTTTTTTTTTGAGACAGAGCCTCAAGCTGTCACCCTGGGTAGAGTGCTGTGGCATCACAGCTCACAGCAACCTCCAACTCCTGGGCTCAAGCGAGTCTCATGCCTCTGCCTGCCAAGTAGCTGGGACTACAAGCAATTTTCCTACCTCTCCCTCCCAAATAGCTGGGATTACAGGCCCTCACCACAACGCCCAGCTACTTTTTGGTTGCAGCCACCATTGTTGTTTGGCAGGCCCCGGCTGGATTCCAACCCGCCAACTCAGGTGTATGTGGCTTAGCCACTTGAGCCACAGGTGCTGAGCCTTTGTGTGGGATTTTTAGTCTAATTAAAATTATTAGTAGTAATTAAGTGCATTTCGTTAATGGTAAGTTCTATTTTTATGGAAGAAGTTGAGTGGGAAAATGTATTATGATTGCATTATTCCTCTTGGAAAATAGTCTGGATCACAAGGCCAAATTGTGTAGGACGAAATAAAGGACCTGAGATAATATAAAAATCATCGGAGGCCTTGATTTACCATATTTATTTTTATTTTATTTTATTTGTTTATATATTTCTTGAGACACAGTCTCACTCAGTTGCCCTCAGTAGAGTGCTGTAGTGTCACAGCTCACAGCAACCTCAAACTCTTGCCTCAGCCTCACAAGGAGGTAGGACAGCAGGTGCCCAGGTATTTTTCTGTTGCAGTTGTCATTGTTGCTTAGCTGGCCCGGGCTGGGTTTGAGACTGCAAGCTGTGGTGTATATGGCCAAGGCTATAACCACTGTGCTATGGGTGCTGAGCTGATTTACCATGTTTAAATGCAGATCCCTGACCAGCCCCTCAGAGAGTTGGTTTTGGTACATCAGAGAGGTGCCCAGAAATCTGCATGTCTAACAGGGTCCCCAAGATATCTAGCACAGAGCCCCCGTGAACCACAGTTTGGGAAACAGCTCCATTTTGCCATCTCAGTCCTATAAAGTGATGATAAAGTTTATCATGGTGATTTAAGTCAGAGTACTGCAAACTAGCAAATTAGGGTAGATTTGTTACTACCATAACTAATGATTTTTATTTAATTTTTTGAGACAGAGTTCCACTTTCTCACCCTAGGTAGAGTGCCATACAGCATAGCTTATAGCAACCTCAAACTTTTGGGCTCAAGCGATCTTCTTGCCTCACCCTCCAGAGTAGCTGCCACTACAGGTGCCTGTAACAATGCCTGGCTATTTTTTTTAGAGACAAGGACTCACTCTTGCTTAGGCTGGTGTCAAACTCCTGAGCTCAGGCAATCCACCCGCCTCAGCCTCCCAGAGTGCTAGGATTACAGGTGTGAGCCACCTTGCTGAGCCTGAAAATGATTTTTAATCATCTGAGGCAAAAAAGGAAAGGTCAGGTGTTTTTTTTTTTTTATAGGAGCAGCATTTCCCATACCTCTATGAACGTGGAAATGCTGGTGACTGATTGCTGAGTGCCCAATGGCATTCTGTTTCCCCTCTGTTCCAGCCTTTGAAGCCCACTTGAAGTTGCTTCTCAGAAGATGGCATCAGCTGTTTCTCTAGAGACGGTGGTTTAGTACTGGATGTTATGGCTACTTGATGGGACTCAAGTTCACTTACGTACCATGTTGTTTGAGTGTTTCCCATGATCTTTGACCTTGAAGTTCATACACACATCTCTGTGCATTAACACAGTGGGCTTTCTTCCTTATGGAAAAGCTGGCTTCCTGAGAAATATATGGACGGTTTCCTTGGGGATGGGGGGAGCTGGATTATGGGGCTGAGTGTGACCCTTGCACAGTCCTGGTGTTCTCCCTGAGAGCTGAGACTATCTGTGTCTTGCTTATCTTTAAGTCCCCCATAGCACACTGCACATGGCCTGGCACCGAGTCCTACTGCCAGGGAAAGAGGATGCCAGCCTGAAAGGAGAGGGTGGGTGGAGAGAGTCACTCTCACATGGAACAAGGCCGGGTCATTGTGGTTGAGGCTGTATGGAGGGCAGGAGTGGGGGTGGGGAGTGGCTGCTCTCCTTGACGTCTGATGGGCCCTCTGCCAGATGCTGGACAGAAGAGCCGTGTCTGTGGGTCCAGCCAAATGGAGAGGCTCCAGCAGCTTTCAGCTTTGAGAGGGACAATGAGTTCCTTCCTGTCCCTGAAAAGCCTTTCAGGGCTGTCCTGCATAATGAGATAGATGAGCCCTAAGGCCTGGCTTCTTTAAAGAACTGGGCTTGGTTACAACACAGATCTCCCCCAGAATGTCTGGTGCTGAGTTGCTGGGTAGAAGGACAGCTGTGCTCCATGGATAGGCCACAGCTTCATCCCTCCCTCTCCCCACCCCTTGAAATTGGCAGACCTGTTTGTCCCTTTTCTTGTATTTTTTCTTTTCTTTTTAGCTCCTGGTTCCCACCTTCCTCTTCTTAATTTGTTGCCCATGTTCATGCTTCCTTTCTTTTCCTCTTTCTCTCTGGCCTTCCTCTCCATGTTCTCAAGAGTTACATGCATGTCTGAAGCCCTTTGATTTCTAGGAAGGGAGAGGATGCCCAGGTCTCCTAGGACATTGGGTAGCCATCCCATCACCTGGCAGGTAAACCATCTTGGGAAAGGGGGTAGGAATCTTGGAAAATTTGAGAAATCAGGAGAGGGAGTCCCTGGAAGTTCCATGGAAATGAAACATGGATCCCCAGTATCTCCATACTCCTTAAACTCTAGTCAACATGGGTAGCTCCTCTTAGGAGGGTTCACACTTTACAGAAGAATCGAATGGCCCATCTTGTTGGCATTCTCTGATGGCTCTCATCTTCCTAGTCACCTCCACCTGAGCAATGCCTGTTTATGCTCATGTTTCAAGAAACTTCTGTAGAGACTTGTAATTGAAATAATAAAGTTTAGGGAGGCACCTGTGGCTCAATGAGTAGGGTGCCAGCCCCATATACTGAGGGCGGTCGGTTAGAAACCAGCCCCAGCCAAACTGCCTCAAAAAAATAGCCAGGTGTTGTGGCTGTAGCCCCAGCCACTCAGGAAGCTGAGGCAAGAAAATCGCCCAAGCTCAAGTGCTGGAGATTATCTGTGAGCTGTGACACCATGGCACTCTACTGAGGGTGACAAATTAAGACTCTGTCTCTAAAAATAATAAAGTTTAATCCGTTACTTCAGTTCATTCAGATGTCAGACCCCAGAGTGTTATAAAACTGCTGCTTCTGAGCTGAGGCTCCTTCTTCAGCTTCCGGGCAGTCCTTGTTATTGTTCAGTAGGATCTCTGGACTTGCTGAGACCATCTCCTGGTTTTCCTTAGACCGGACAGATGAGCTAGTGATTAGGTCACTCCAACTCGGTGTGGAGCTGCTAAGAGGCTCCTGTGCGGCTCTGCACGAGGCCAGTGTGGGTCACAGGCCCTGTCAGGGCCAGCAGAAGAGCAGAGAACCGGTGGGGATAATTCTGCTTGGGTGTGTGGTTTAGGTCTTGTTTCAAATCAAGGGACAACAGTTTTCTTCTTTGGGGCCTGTTAGCTCATCACAGAGGTTCTTAGAGAACCTGAAAAAGCATTGAGGTGTATTATTTTCATAAATAATATGAAGGGGCCTGAATCTGGGTGGCTTCAGGACTATGCCCTTGTCCTCCATCTTCCGTGTCAGGAATTCCCAATGGCGTATTCCTGCAAGCCCCTGATCCCAATGGTGTATTCCTGCAAGCCCCTGATCCC